TATGCTTCTTTTCCAATGAATGTGAGGAAGTGTGCCACAATATTAACATCCTCATCATCTTCCTTGGTCATAGCCCAGATTTCGAACCTTTCAAAGTAATCTTCAATAGCTTCCGAAGTTGAATGAATATCTAACTTTTCCATTGCAGGCTCCATCGCGACGCCAATATAGTATTCGAATTATTGTATGAACTAGGAATTCCAGGATTAACGCAATTGAATTAAGAAGACACAGGCACAAACGAATGTATTGTATTTAGAATTCGAAATCAAGCATTCCACCAGTACCAAAGAATCATTAGTTAATTCAAACACCACACTTCTCTTTCAGCTCATCTTCAGATAAGAACTCTCCCTTAGAGTTTCAACAACTAGACTACATTTCGTAGTTCACTTCAGATATACAGCACATTTGTGAAGCAGGCAATGTAGTGGCAGACGCCTTCTCTGGTCTAACTTCCTTGAACGGTTTCCAAGGAATTGGCTCTCTCAAACTCGCCAGGCTTCAAAAAGAAGACACTGATATTCAACACGAGTTATCTTCGACAACTCTGAAACTGCATGTCAAACAGATGTGGACAGGTAAGAAGACTTCATTGTGTGACACATCTACATGTAGGACCGTCCAATTTTGCTGAAACATTATCAGTGCAACATCTTCAATACGTTCCACAAGCTTCCTCATCATAGTGTTCGTGAAACCACTAAGCCCATGACAGGACAATTTTTTGGTCTGTTGTGAGCAAAAACGTCTGAAAGTGGGCACGCTTCTGTGTAGGCTGCCGGAAATCTAAAGCGATTAGACATGACAATTGTTCGTTTGGTTCTTTCATAACACTAGGCGCTCGTTTCGACCGTGTTCGTATGGATTTGGCAGGATCCTCACTAGATATAAATGGATAGTCTTGCCACTTTACATATGTAGACCGTTTCACACGATGGCCGGAAGCAGCACCCACAAAAGGCATCACTGTTGTAACGGCGGCACGCAACTTCGTTGAGTGATGGATGGCAAGCTTTGGCTTCCCTCCAACTATTCCTTAATTTCATTCACAATAAGACGTCTCCCAGGAAGCACGAAGAGGCCTACAGGGTCTCTGAAAAGGCTAAATATATTCCAGTTGACCAGAACGCGACAGAACGTTCTAGAATATCAACCAGACCTGTTGTTATTGAACAATAATATAAATTCATATTCGTGCAAGTAGATATCCCTCGTTTTATGTGTTGAAGAAATCATACTATTGGCTGCAGTATGTCTTTACTCATATACTGGAACATGAAAGTTTGAGCTCGAAGTTTTATATTTTAAACACACAATGTTTTGAACATTCAGTATGGACTTAAAGGAAATATAATTAATACCAAAATTTAGAAAGTGAATAAACATTGGAACTATAATGTTTAACATTATCACGATATTTTGGGCTAACTTCTAATCAAGCCTAAACTGTTAAATCAGCTTCCTCCTAGAATTGACATTCATAAATATGTAGATTTCTTAAACAAAAACGTGTCATTTTAGTTTCCGAAGACTAGTGGGGAATCACAAACTCGTCCAGTTTTTGACCTTGCTTGTACACTGAATGATGACCACAATTCAATCAATATTCAGGTATAGTCTGCAAATGTCACGTAATTTACTAGCTTGTTATCTTAATTCTATATCCTTTATCTTCCATCCACAAATTATGGCAGATGAATTGAGCGTGTCCTCTATGTTAGATTTAGAGATAATAAAACAATGGCAGGTAGGAAAATGAAACGCGAATACCTAAAGAAGTGCCTCGAGTGGGATACTCAAAACCTTGTCTGCTAAAGGAACTTCGCCTTAAAACAATAGTAATAATATGAACCTGTCAGAACGTCGATTCGTCACATACCACGACTGAATACATAAACTCGAGTTTGTGACGACCGCCAGTAGATTTTGCATCCAAACTACACATTTCTATTCTATTCATTCATTCTGATAATCCATACATAACCTGTGTTACAGATCATGAAATCATTCTCCTTAACAATTGAGTGGTTTGTGAATGATTGATCAATGTGAAGGATGAGATCAAATGTTGAACAGATAGTGAAAGTGTGGAGAATGGTAAAGGTATTTGATTTCAGTTCAGATCTTCATGGTGCTAAATAAACCTGATTATCCCACATGTTGTTCCCTGCTTTTTTCTTCTTCACTACAATATTAGACTTATCAATTATGTTTTTTGCCCGCTTGTTTACAGAAAATATATTTCAAATATTTTGCACATTTATTCACTAATATTTTCAAGAAAAATTGCAAACATACCTAAAAACACTTAAAAGATATATGAAGGCCCTATTGTTCCACGCACACAATAACTCATAATACGCTTCAATACGTTACTAACTGTAGAATTTGTATGAATTCTTCTCCCAGTCAATCATTAGCGTCCGCTTTATTGGTCTATCATTGATATCTCGTTATGTCGAGTGTCCTTTGAGTAAACCACCAACCTTCACACATGTATTTCCACTCACTCAATTCTCCTAAATTACGCGAACTCATCAAATCTTGTTTATTTATTACGCAACCCATCTTACCAGCTTTTCAATTCTAGGAATATTGAGCAAACCCTTCATTACCTCTAAAATCATCACACAACTCATCTTATCTGTCTCTGAACTTCACTCAGTTATTACATCATCCACCCCTCACATTTCTTGATTCTAACACTGAGTGACCTCCGACCTGTTCTTGCACACACATATATATAGTTATTATTGATAACCTTTGTTATTCCAATTCTTCACATTCACTTATGTCAATTGTTTCACACTATATCTTACATCAATGTGAAATTTTAATACATATTTGGTTGTAATCGGCTGATGAGAAACCACGAAATATAACGAATTCATATTATTCTGCAACCATGTTCGTTCTGGGATTATTTAAATTCATGAAGGGAACTAATTGTATGAAATTATTGATAACTGTCGACCTCCAGAAACTTCTGGAGGTATACTAAATTTGGTAATTGAGCAAGTAAACATCCTAACAGAGTTCGACACATAACCCATCAATATTCTAAGCTTTTGTGACGTATGTTAATTGGAAAAATGTTCTTATTCTCTTACTGGTTCCTGAAAGACTGATGGATAAGTTCTCGTAAAGATCTCAACAACTACCATTAAAATTTTATTTATCATGTAATATTTCACATATTACTGTCTGTTCTCATTACAATGAGAAATAAAAAGTAATTATTATCCAAACTAATTAATTATGATTTAAATGGAGTTTTGTTCCCTGAGCTGGATGGTTTGGTCATGGAGCCTTCAGCGTTATTCTGAACGGCACCATCAGCACAAATTCCACGACCAAACCATCCAGCTCAGAGAACAAAACTCCATCAAAATCTTCCATCTGAGCTACAAATCGTCTCCACCATCTCATAATTATGATTTGAATATTTTCTCAAAATGATATTATTCTTTTTAATTAACGGTGTACATTAAAAGAACATACCTGGTCTGAATAACATTATTGTCGTGTAACGTATTTTATATAATACACACATACTCGTATACAATGAAAAACAACATAAAGTGGTATGAAATACTGGAGATGGCATCAGTAAGAAAAGAATTACTAGTTTCAATTCCCATAGTTAGAGAACAAAACTGAACTGGTTTAAGGATAAACAGGATAGACTAATGGGATTATAAGAAATTGTTGTTCAGATGTACTAAATTGTCGGACGGTGATAGCTTCTACAAACCTAGTAATATCCTAATTGGCAATTCCTATTATAAAGATTTTTTCAAGTTATTTCTAAGGTCAATCATATGACCTGATATAACTAGAAACAAATAAACAATAGTAACAATATAGAATCCTCATAATAACGACCATAATAATAATCATTGCTATTATTATTATTATTATTCAGGATGCAATAGAATAATATTCATTGCATGTAACTGGATCAATTAAATTTGTAGTAGTATGAGGGTATTGTATTAATACCCGTATCATTGTATTAGTAGTGTGGAACATTAAAAGATCATAATTTATTGATGAATAAGTCCTATACTTAATTTATTCTTAGCTTGTCAATCGGATTCATAGAGAAGCAATGATAATGACTACAAGTTATTTATTTATTTACTTGAGTATGCCTACACTGCAAATACTAATGCACTGTCATATGCAAGCAAACGATTTGATGTAACTTGTTTATCAAGTGTAGATTGGTATACGTTATTTCTGCATCGCCTATTACTTATACGGCGAAAATGAGGAACCAATGCAATTTCTACGACACCAAATAACAACACACAACACTGATACAAGTGAAGATTTATTCACCCCAAAAACACTACGATAACTCTAGTCGAAAATACACTCATTTATATAATCATTTGTACACCCATCTGATTAGTAATTAAAGAAAAGTCACATGTATGGAAACTATTCAGAATCATAAGACATCACATGTTGCATATCATGCTGAACATATGTTACATGCAAACGAAGAATAAATGAATGGTGACTACTGAGAATTACATATGAGTTATCATTACATATATTCTTATTGCACGATTGTTAAGTAACTAGGGTATAGATATATAATTAAATGTTTCAAAAGATGGTTAAGTAATTAATTGAAATATTGTTTGAAAGTACATACCGAAAACTAAACACATAGACAACAGAAGTAAATGATGTACAAATCGCTATGATGAATAGCGAATAGAAATTCTTTTATTCGATCCATCAATGATACTAAGTTATCTACATATGGATGTAATTTTCTGTGCATTTGTGAATATTATACAGATTTGACTGTGTATATAACAATGTTGAACTTGAGACTACATCAGTGTTTTCTTTCTTGATTACCTCTATACTTAAATGAAAGTATCATTCAATATAAAACTAGTTTTGTCTCACAGTGTAAAGAACTAGGTTATACAATATTTAAGGGTAAGAAAAACAGGCAATTGAATCTTAAAAAAAACTTATTTTAATGTAATTAAAAAATGTGTGTAGTGTTGCTTCTCAGAATAGGCTGAAACTTTATATTTTACAGAATTCAATCCATCAGTGAACATACGACTGGCAGCATTTTTTAATGAATCAAGTACTAAGCTTCTATTCGCTCGAACCTGTATAGTGTGAGGTTGAGCCAGATATCTGCCTATTGACGTTTCAATGTGTTTATACATAATTTTTGATGCTTTCAGTCGCCTCTCCAAATCATCGTCCTCTCCACCCCAACCCCAATAACTATTCGAATAACCATTAACCTGTATAAAGTGTGAAGTCGATATTTTCAAAACACCACCGATCAATGATTGGTAAGGTAAAACATAATTCCATGAACTCACTCCAACACTCAAATGAACCACACTCCCCATCATCTCTTCATCACAACCATGTGGTATTCTATCATCCAATGGTATTAAGTCGGCATCATGAAATATAACACAGTCGAAATCGAAACGTTTACGTGCTTCAATAAAACCAATGTTCATCAACTGAGCTTTGTTCAAAATACCAGTACCCCGTTGTTCAATAACAAATATTTGATAACACAAATGTTGTCTCTGGAGAACTGGAATCAGAGCGGACAATGTATTATTCAGTTGTTTCCATCTATCTCTACAAACAATGATGATTGCTACACCGGATTGTGGAACATTGTTGCAATTCGTCGTCTCCTCCTTAAACATCCAACCGCCACCAAGATCATGTGAATAAAATGTGTCGTTGATTGGGTTCATCTCTTCGTTGAATTCACCATTGAATGGCATTTTCCCAATTGGTTTCAATGCACTCACCTTACTCGATGGAATACTGTCAATATTCTTACAAATAGTACGACATGTGCGTTTGCAGTTAATATGTGCCATATTGCGTACAATAATTGCTTCTTCAGAGTGATTTCGTAGGGTAACATATTTGACAGTTGTACGCATGAAATATATATGTAATATGAAAATTATACAAAGTGTTAATCCGAATGCTTTCAGAATTGCACAGTAGATTCTGAACGATGATTTCTTCTTGATAAACATTTGATTATACAATCCTTGTGTTTATAAAACACAATGGTAACAACGGTAACAATAACAAAAATAAACGTTGAAGAATCAAGTGCTTATTATCTAGTTAACATTTTAATTGAGACACTGAACCAATTGATTTTGAGTATTATATTGACCAATTGAATTTTGACTTTTGTTTATAATGGTTAATTGAAGTTCAAGATTATTTCTCTATCACAGAATAACATTGCAGTAAAGACCATTGAAAGTTTGAATTCAGTAAATTGTCATTTTAACATAGATCTATACTGTCGTCTGTTCTTAACTGCCACTTCTCAACTCATTCCCCAGGTGCTTGGGTGTGAGCCACCATGTAAGCGCGATGTCCAACCATAATCCTCAATCGTTTAAACAAAGTATGTAAAGAGGACTTTGAACCTGCGGTTGAGTAGCTGGACGTCGGACGCTACGATCACTAAAATATCACTCTACAAGGGATTCAAACTCCATACTTATAACCTATTTATTATGAGATTAACCGAAGTTGTTTCTTTGAATGGGTCTGACATAAACTTTTGTTGGCTCAACCATTAGATCATTTCTTCGTGGGTTGTAGCGCTCTTTTGCCATTTCCAGATTATCATAGAGCCTCAGTGAATAATGGTATTTTATGCTTGCGATCAACATGGAGGGGTAGAAGTTTTTCTATGATGAGAAAGTATCAACTCGGCTTTCATCTTGTGATTGTACAGCTATCATGTTCATAACCGTTATGTGAGAGACGGAAATCAAGTTAATCAGCACCAAATATTGAAACCAGTACAAACAAACAAAATAGGTTCCTACAGGTCAAAAGTTGTAACACGTGAAGTCTTATCAAAAAGATTATAACATGATTTTGAGGTATCGTGGAAGGTATTTAACCTTCTGAGAAGCGCTCCAGTTATTCTCTCCTTTCAATTCATCTCATATTGTATTTCGAAGTATCTTCATTTTTTGTGAATTAGTTCTTGCTAGAAATATGTTGATTGTCCTCATGATCCAAAGATATTTTCAGATGTTTGTGTTAAATAATATGCAATAAATTATTCATGTAAAGTTCAATATAATTAAGGTTCCTTTTGAACATACCTCTTTTGACTGATGAAATGCTTAATGAATACCTACTAATCAGCATAGTAAAATGATATTACTATGTAGTCTAGCTCAGATCCTATCAGAGAAGCTACTGAGATCTACCTATGAATTTGAAAGTGATTTCTCTGGTTAGCTTGTCTATAGTGGTTATTTTCTATGGGGTGATGTTGCGAACCCTATCCCCAACTCTTCTTCTTTATTCGGGCTTCAGGTCGGTAGTAAGCCTAAACGGGCTACAAGCGTAGTTACTCAATATCTGTTGACTGAATGTCATCAACAACAACCTACTGTGGCGGAGAACAAACCAAATTCCAGATGAGGAGGAAATGAGAAAAAGACGCTGAAGTTGGGTAGAATATACACTGCAGAAACTTGAAATTCTGAAGGCTAATGGATAAGAGGTGGTCCGGTGGACACATTGTGCCGGAAATCGCAGTCAGACATCGAAGGAATGAATAGCACTTGGAAACAACTGAAAGAAAAATGCGAGACAGAAATGGTTGGCGAATTTTTGTCAGCGACCCATGCTCCAGGAGGGGCAACATTCGTGAGTAAGTAACTGACGAATTTGAAATGATCGAACGAAAGGTCGTTCAAGTCAAGAATCTTTACTGTCCCACTAACCATTCTCTAAATTACAGTTCCTGTTGTCGGTCACTAGTCATTTATTCGGTTGAACGTTACCTATGATGATGTTCCATTCACTAAGTGAGTTTTATGTTTGCGATGTTTAAAGAGTTTAGCTGAAGTTCTTGAATCTTCTTCATCACGATATTGGAAAACGAAATCGCTGGTGCGTTTTTCTACCTCTTTGATATTACTTGGATTCACTGATGTGATAGAAGCCTGAAGAGTTCAAACGAACTGGTCTGTTAAACCATGAGATTGAGGTTTTTGTGGAGCTGTGAATAGATGACGGCATCCAATTTGAATAAGTCATTTGTTAAACTCTTTTCCTATGAACTGGGTTCAATTATCAGTTACTAATACATTGGATATACCTTATCTACTAAATATCTTCATGATTGCTCTTTGAGTTAAGTGTCCGCTGGGAGTGTTTGTGAGTACCACTCCGGGTAATTTAGAATATGAACCGATCATAAATAAAGTACAATATGAGTTTAAAAATAGGCTACAGCAATCGGCTTGCATGCGTTCCTACGATTCAGGTGAGGACTCGAAAAAGGTTTATTGTGCGACAGCTTATGTAAACAAAAACTACATTTATCCGATTTTCGATACAGTGTTCAATGGTGAAATGATTAGCACTCAACTCTAAATTTACTTCTGGACCACGGTGGGGGATTGTATTTTCACCATCTATACCACAGTTAAAGCATTCCTTTGAGTCTGAGAATATCTTTCATCACTACTGCTTAACTATCTCGAGACAAAACGTTTTCCGATCTGCTGTAGAACCGCACCTAGCTCCATTGGAGTTACGAATAAATCTAGAATAAAACTGTGATTACAGGAGACTGTAGTTAATAGATTTGGGATAAATTAAGAATGGTAAATCATATACCAGTAGTGAGTAGATCAAATGAAAGCTTATGATAAAAGTAATATATATCTATATATATATACCCTAGTCACTTAACAATTGTCCAATAAGAATATATGTAATGATAACTCATATATAATTCTCAGTAGTCACCATTCATTTATTCTTCGTTTGCATGTAATACATGTTCAGCATGATTTGCAACATGTGATTTCTTATGATTCTGAATAGTTTCCATACATGTGACTTTTCCCTAGTTAATAATCAGATGGGTGTATTTTCGACTAGAATTATCGTTGTGATTTTGAGGTGAATAAATCTTCACTTGTATCAGTGTTGTGTGTTGTTATTTGGTGTCGTTGGAATGGCAGTGGTCCCTCGTTTTTCCAGAATAATTAATTTGCAATGAGAATTTTACAATTTACTATGGTACTTGAATCTTAATCTGATTCCAAAGGTTGCTATCATACAGTACCTTGTAATTTTTTAATGATTCAGACATCCTTAATTCACCTGACACTAGTGTAAATCCAAGAATCGATTACTTGGGTTTATAGAAGTTTGTATTTCACATAATCTACTGAACTATTGAAGTACGTAAACGAATACAATAACAAATAATTAGAAACAGGCAGAAAATAAGTCATCATTCAATAAACAGATAAACAAATAAAAACCGCACATTCATCAATGCTTGAACTAAATAATTAAAGACACATTAAGTAAGACTGATACCAAAGCAACTGAATTATTGAAATTGTTAAACGACACAGATGGACAAGATGCGGATGTTCCATGGTATAACATGCAAAATCAAATCTCTTTGGTCCTTCCGTCTTGTTAGTCTTTTGATTCAGTTATTTTCAGATTGGTTGTTTAATTGTTTGATTTATTCATTATTCTATGTGTAAAACGGTAAATTTGTTAAACTAGGAAATTCAGGTTCATCTGCAACAGGCACATAAACCAACGCTACCCACTGACGGATTTGTAATTCGGAATTTCCACTTGTCATATAACGTTCTTTACGGTTTGGTGATCGCTGTTTACTCCACTATATACATTAGGCCAGAAGAATCCAGCAACCTTGTATTGTATTTGGACAAACTTGCCAGTGTTTGTAAAAACTGGATGTTCCTTCAGATTGTTGCAGAACTGAATCTATGAATTGGTACTGTTGGTTCTCTTCTCTGCTAGCCCCAGTTACTCTAAAAAAAATCTTGTAGACATTTATTAGGAGACATCAAAAAGTGTTATTTACACAGAAGTTTGTTTATTCAGTGATATATCGATTAAAATCATGATTATTAGTTACAAGAATTATCAACAGACTCTTCAGTTGAACAAAAAGTCTCAGTCAATTTATAAACACAAGCAAAAATGAACTAGAAACATAAATAGGAAACTTATTTTCAGTAAGTTAATACGAAGAAAAATGCACTGAAAATTAATTAAAAATAAGTCATACCAAATGATATAACACTAAAATTAATTAACAAAAATCACCATATACTAAAATGTTTATTTCAAGATTGGTTTTCGCATAATACGTCATATTTAGGGATTTGACATCTCAAACATATCTGTCAGGAAATTCTCTCTAATCACAGTCGTTCTGAATTTAAATGGTAAAGTTGGCGTAGCCAATAGATTAAATTTAGGTAAAAACACCTGATGCTGATGTCGTACGCGCGAAATTGTTCACATCATCTAAATTGCAGCTGGAAATCACGTTGGCATTGCATCTGGTAGAGACGCTGTAGCTGCAAATTGATGTGTTGCTTTTGTTGATTTAGCTGATCGGTTTTTATCATTGTGATTACGAATTTTTCATATGCCTTAGCTTTACCTGGAACAAAATAGCATTCCGTTGGTTTCTTTGTAGTAACTTCGTACTTCATATGATAACATGACCTACACTTAGTTGTACGCTGTTTCATACGCTTTCAAAGTTGATTGTCAATCACCTTCTCCATTCTGAAGGCATGGCCATTCATCAGTAAAAAATCAACACCCTTGTTAAAGTTCAGGTGGACTTTGAAGATGACCTAACTCTTCTATCCCATGCCCACCAACAAATGCAGATGAAGACAACTGGTGTAGCAACAGCCTCTACATTAGTAGACCTCAACATACACAAGGGAAAAAGCGCCATCCTCAAATACACCACTGAGGACATAAACATAATCACACTTAATGCAAAAGCTCTGGAAGAGGTGTAAAGTTTCACGTACCTGGGGAGCATCATCGATGGACATGGAGGATCTGATGCAAGCGTAAATGTGGGGATTGGCAAAGCAAGGACAGCATCTCTACAGTTGAACAACATGGAACTCAAAACAACTGTCTGTGAGCCAACATCAAAGTCATAATCTTCAATACAAACGTC